CCGATGGACAACAGGCACAGGCGCTGGCTATCGAGCCACAGGTGCCCATACATGTCGATAATGATAAGCATAATGTGATTGAAGACACCGTTAGGGAAGAGGGCGACGAACGGCCCAATAAAAGGCCAAAAATGAATAAAAAGTCGCAAATTCTTAGGGAAAAGGTATTTGACTTTAAAATGAGTTTCACTTTTGTGTCTCGTTTTGCGTACGAATTAAATATAGTTTTTAATCATATGTTGTTTTGGATAATAATTGTGTGTTTTATTGCATTCAATGTATGTATTAAACAGAAGGAAGAGTTGGAAAGAGCAGCTGTGATACCGGCCCCCAAAGATGCTTCAAGCTATGGAGAAATGGGAAAACCTGTCGTATTAACAGTAAGCGCTGTCTTTCCCTATAAATTATATTATATTTTTTGTGCTTTCATTTCTCTTATTTCTCTTTTATTTTGTTTGATTGCTTGCCTTAAAAGCTGACAATTGTTTTGCACTAAATTTAGTCTAAATTTAATTTAATTTTTTCGGTGTTTTTCTTTTCACTGCAGAATATCTCGACTGACATTCAGCGCAAAATAGATAAGGGATGGGAAAGCAATGCTTTCAATCAATACATCAGTGATTTAATATCACTTGAACGCAAATTGCCTGATGTTAGAGATCCACAGTATGTATACATTTACTTACTTTATGCTCACTTTACTGCCTATTGTAATGAACTGAATATTATTTTTACAAACAATTAATGTTATATTGTATGTTTGTTATTATGTGTTATTTCCTATTATTCTCTATTCTCTACAATATTTTGTTTCTTACTTTAATTTCTCTGTATATTATGTCGGGATAATAGTGTACATCTCTGTAATTAAGCAAAAGTAGAGTTATTTCTATTAAGTTCATTGAAATGTTTTACTTCTCTCTTGTATTTGTAAAGTTTTTTCCATTATTTTTATTATTATTCTCCGATAGCCGTAAGGCTTCTCATTATTTTCTCCTCATTTCTTGGGTTTCAATCAAGAAAAGAGTTATCAATGCATTTGTCAACTACTTTTCCACTAAATTGTTTTTTGCTTTATTATCTCTTTGCGAATATTAAATTCATTTCATTATTTGTTTCCCTTTTATAAAGTTTTATTTTTTGCATCTTTTTCGTAGACTTTCAGACTATGTTTTAATAAATTTTCACTTTTTGTTTGCCGTTTGTCTGGTTATCTTCACTACAATTCAATGCAATGATCACTAAAATAAGGGATGCCTTTAGGAAAGACTATAAGCAGTGAGGCTCTAAATATTAGTTTCATAACTCTATAAATGCATTATAACTTAGATATCGATTCAATAGTCGAGTGTTGTCTCTATGACTGACTGTCGAACTGGTAATACATTTTCATTCCCACTCCTAATGCCATAGTCTGTAATCTATTCACAGTATTGAATACAACTCTTCAAAAACAGATTATCTTTAATATAGTAATGTATTTGTTATTTATGCCCTTAAAAGAAGTCAATTTCTTGAATATAGCACTCAATTTAATGTTTGAAATTCTCGCATTCAGTGACCAATGATTTTCTAACAGAATATTCTCGATTCTGTTAGAGTAGCAAAGATTTTCAAATCTATTGAATGCTTATCCAATTGCTATAAGGCTTCTCATTATTTTCTCCTCATTTCTTGGGTTTCAATCAAGAAAAGAGTTATCAATGCATTTGTCAACTACTTTTCCACTAAATTGTTTTTTGCTTTATTATCTCTTTGCGAATATTAAATTGATTTCATTATTTGTTTCCCTTTTATAAAGTTTTCTTTTTTGCATGTTTTTCGTAGACTTTCAGACTATGTTTTAATAAATTTTCACTTTTTGTTTGCCGTTTGTCTGGTTATCTTCACTACAATTCAATGCAATGATCACTAAAATAAGAGATGCCTTTAGGAAAGACTATAAGCAGTGAGGCTCTAAATATTAGTTTCATAACTCTATAAATGCATTATAACTTAGATATCGATTCAATAGTCGAGTATTGTCTCTATGACTGACTGTCGAACTGGTAATACATTTTCATTCCCACTGCCATAGTCTGTAATCTATTCACAGTATTGAATACAACTCTTCAAAAACAGATTATCTTTAATATAGTAATGTATTTGTTATTTATGCCCTTAAAAGAAGTCAATATCGCGAATATAGCACTCAATTTAATGTTTGAAATTCTCGCATTCAGTGACCAATGATTTTCTAACAGAATATTCTCGATTCTGTTAGAGTAGCAAAGATTTTCAAATCTATTGAATGCTTATCCAATTGCTCACTATTGCAATGCAATCAATCATAAGCCGATGTAACGCATGATTAGTTGGAACCAAAAATGGTTATATATATATATATATATATCTATATCTATATATATAGTTATATAGATTTGAGACAAATATCAGAATATGAGTCCATAACTCAAATTTTAAGGCTTAAGAATTGGCAGAATTTTTTGCTGTTCACTACCGAAACACACATATCAATCGATATCCAATCAATTTTGAGCTCTTTTTGTCCATACTTTCAGACATTTTTGGCTCAAAACATTTCGCCCGCTAACTCTCAAATCACATATATTGCCGATATTTAGTGTAAACGACATTCAGACATACATTCTTCAGTGTTTTGGATTTCTAACACACATTCCCCGTCCCTCCCCCTCCCCTCTCACTATGCGTTTCATGTCTTTTCTCGAGTTTTTTATATACTTTTCAATTTTATCGCTATTTCTTTGGTTGCATTATATATGGCTATTGACCAGAAATACCGATATATTTGATGTAAGGGTTAGAGAGCTAGACGTCAGCCGCCCCTCAATATGATGTACGGCTCGTCTCCACTCGACTATAAGTGAAGTGTTTTCAACTCATTTTAAATACTCGATTGTGAACTCACTCTTGCCTACAATTCTTAACAACTATTTTTCAAAACTATTTTAAACTCTCTTTCTCTCTCTATCTATCTCTGGTTTTTCAGCTCAAGAAATCTCTGATTTCATGTGAGAATACGATTCTCGCATTGAATTATTTTTTTCTTTACGTTTTTTCGATTTTATTTTACTTTTCTCTTCGCTCTCTCTTATTATAAATCTCTTCAGAAAAGGACTATCAATAAGAATTGGTCTTCAATTTATCACTAAATCTCTTAAATTATACCAATTTTTGTCCTCTATTTTCTGTTAGTATTTCTCTCTCTCTCTCTTTCTCTCTCTCTCTCTCTCTCTCTGCACCGATTTTGCCTACTTTTGCGTTGATTTTATTTTCCAAAAGTTTAGCAAAACTTTTATTTGTTTTTATCGATGCCTCCCTTAAATGCATTGTATTATAGATTGCATTTTACATACATTTTTCATCCTTTCATTCATCATATCATAAATATTATCTCGAAATTTACTTTATTTTCTGTTTTACTTCAGATTAAAATTACATTAAAATTAATGATTGGTTTAAAAAGAGTCTGTTTTCAGAAGTTTCTCATAATTTTTGTTTTTTTTCTGTGGACTAAGATTTATATGCTCTTCGAGTTTATACATATTATTCACAAATTATAGTCTCTCTTACCCTCTCCTCCGACTACCGAAGCGATGAACTGCTCGTTAGTCTCTCTCTCTTTGCCTCTCATATGAATACGTCTGTCGTATGGCTGTTGTGATCATAAATTTGTGCCAAAAAGCCAAAGGAATTGTTAACTATTTTTCTCTTTTATATATAAAAAGCGAATCCATAGCCTTAAAAGTACTCTAATATTGTATAGTATTATAAAATAAAATGTCAAAACTTGACTCAAATCACTTTATCACAAGTTTCTGGGCAATCATTTGTCACTATCAATGACAATCACAGGGCTCTCTATGCTCTTAAGGGATGAGATGGTATCTCATTCACATGTTAAATAGGGACAACCCTTCACTCTAAGTATGCCTTTCATTCCCGGCTCAGTCTAACCCGCTCTCCCTTTTTGTCGCTATATTTCT